ATCCTTTGCTCTATGTCTAAAATTCATATATAAGTGAGTACATACCATGTTTGTCTTTTTGTGAGTAGGTTACCTCACTCAGGATGGTTTCTTCTAGTTCCATCCATTTGCCTGCGAATTTCAAGATTCCATTGCTTTTTTCTGCTGAGTAGTACTGCATTGTATAAATGTGCCACATTTTCTCTATCCATTCTTCAGTTGAGGGGCATCTAGGTTGCTTCCAGGTTCTGGCTGTTACAAACAATGCTGCTATGAACATGGTTGAACATATGTCCTTGTTGTATGGATGTGCATTATTTGTGTACATGCCCAAGACAGGAATGGCTGGATCTTGAGGTAGACTGATTCCCATTTTTCTGAGCAACTGCCATACTGATTTCCAAAGTGGTCTCACAAGTTTGCATTCCCACCAGCAATGGAGGAGTGTTCCTTTTTCTCCACATCCTCTCCAACACAGATTGTCATTGGTGTTTTTGATTTTAGCCATTCTGGCCGGTGTAAGATGGTATCTCAGAGTTGTGACAAAGGCTCCTTTATTGACTAGAGGATACGAGCTGCAGCAAGGACCCCATTTGTTCAGGAACAAATGGAGTCCCCACTTTCAACTGAGGGGTGTTTTATAAGGGAAAATTGTAGGGCTGGAAGCCCCAAGATTACAAAACGTCTTTGGTTACACAGGACAGGACAAAGTCTGTATGCTTCAGGCACAGTGCAATTAAGCAGGTTGCTGGAGAGGAAATGAGTTTGTTAATTGCCTCCTGGGCTGGGAACTTCTACAACTGATAACTATCTGATCCTCTTTGGACCAGAAGAATGTGGACACCATTTTAGGGTGTGAAACCTGGTCTAAAGGCTTGAGTCCTGTGAACCTTTGTTTAACCTTGTTTGCTGGGCTGGCTGCCTTTTGGAAACTCAGAGTTTTCTATTTGGGCTTTGGAGTCTGGGTTTTAGACTTTTATTAATTTTCCCCTTTCAGGTGCCTAGACGATCAAGTGTTTTTTTTTTTTTTTTTTGGAGCCTATACTGGCACTCACTCTGGAGACCAGGCTGGCCTCGAACTCAGAGAGATCTGCCTGCCTCTGCCTCCCGAGTGCTGGGATTAAAGGCGTGCACCACCAACGCCGGGCTAGATGATGAAGTTTTAATTGTTAGGAAAATCCTGAAATGGAATTCTTTAATGAGGGAGGCACAAAGCTGTGCAGGCCTTATAGGAATCAGGCTGGAGTGCCAGGCTGCAGCCTCTTGCTGTGAGCTGCTAGGAATCTTCCCCAGCTTCTACCCTGGGGCTCCAGGCACATGTGTTTTCCATCAGTGTTAATAACCGCTGCTTTTCAAGTTCTCATTTCCTATCGTTTGGCCTGAAAATATTTGCTGAGTCACTTGACCTCATGAATCTTCTGAGAAAGCAGTCACATGACCAGAAACTGCTGTAGGCTTATAACATAGCTTCAGGCAAGTCCTTTTCTTCCAAGATTCTTTCAAGCAGTAGTTACAGATTTAGACTCAAGGCATGCCCTGCAGCAAAGAGAGACCTGCAGCTCCCTCTGAGGTGTGGGACCTGGCTTCATTCATAAAGAGTTTGTTTTCTAGTAAGGAGGGCAGGTCCTTATCCAAGGCCTACACTGCTTGCCTTGCGCCTGGCCTTTCGAGGTCTCTAACAAACAAAAGCTGTACCATGTGACCAGACAGCAGAGGAGCCCATTGTGACTGAGAATCGTAAAGGATGATTCAGCAGGCCAGGAACAAATGACTGAAGATCTGACAAGCTGAGTGAGGAGGGACGGAAGCTTGAGCCCAGAGTGTTTGGAACCCCGGCATGTGCACATTGACCGAGTTAAGTCTGGCAGTCAGCAAGCCAGATGGAGTCACAGGCAGTGAAGCAGAAAGCGGGGCTGTTGTAGATTGAATCTGCAGGCATGTGTTCTGATGGCTGTGCTCCCCAGCCTGCAGCAGTATTGTGAAGGCTGTAGAGGCTTTAGGAGACATGGTTGGGGTAGTGAAAGCTGGTCACTAGGGTAGGTCTTTAAAGGTTGTGCGTTCCCCTGGCTCTGGTCCAGATCTCTCTGCTTTCTGGTCTATAATCACGAGATGCTAGCTCATGCTCTTGCCACCACAGAATGAAGACCGGCCACCATGCCTTCCCTATCACAACTGGCTTGAAGCCCCTCTGAACTATGAGCCAGAGTAAATCTTATCTCTTCCAAGTTGTTCTTGTCACATATGTGGTCACAGCAATGCAAAAGTAACATTACAGGGACCTTCGTGAGGACAAGCGACACTTAACAGAGGCTCCAGTCTTTACTCCGTGAATCCTGCTGCCCACCAAGGGTTTCTCCCCACCCTGTGGACAAGGAACAGAATGTACTTGTGCCTGACCCGTTTACTTTATCACACGAGAAAACCATATCACCAGGTGCAGAAATGATGCCCAGCCATCTCAAAGGAAAACGGTGAAGAAGTTTTTATTTTTTTATTTTTGAAAATGCTATTGTCTGAACTCACAAACTTTTCCACACTTTAGAGCACACTAAAAAACCTAATAAAACATTGTTTAGCCGGCTAGAGAGATGGGTCATTTCTCAAAGAGCAGTTGCTCTTGTAGAGGACCCAGGTCACAACCACCTGTCACTCCAGTCCCAGACTATTCAATGCCTCATGTGACCTCCTGGGGCTCCTGCATGCCCATGATGCATGTACACACACACACACACACACACACACACACACACACACAGAGAGAGAGAGAGAGAGAGAGAGAGAGAGAGAATAAATAAGAAGCAAATATTTATAATGCTTGTTTATTTTCCTGTGTTGGTGGGCAGCCTAGCTCTCTGTAATCAACTTCCTTTCCCTTCCAACTTGACTTTTATCTGAGACATCTAGACTGTTTTTATTTTATACTCACCGGGGTGAAGGGTCCCTCAAATCCCATATCAGAAGAACCAAAGTGACTGGGGGTGGTGGAGTGGAGGGAATGTGTAGAATGAGTGAGTGACCACAGAGCTGAAGCTGTGTTTCACATACAAGGAAGGTTTTCTGGCCATAGTTTGACCTCAGGAAGATACACTAGTGAAGGAGGGAGCCTTCGCCAGCCATTGTATGTGGGATTCAGGAAAACAGCAGAGCAGCGGGGAGGGTTACAAAACAGAGGTGGGAGTTGAGAATGGAAAGAAAAGAGACTAACAGAGGTTCAAGGATGTAGAGAAGCAAGATTTAGCTACCTCTCTCTGAAGTGGGAATTGACCAGCATGGGGACAGCAAAGCTGGGTTGTAATCCAGATAGAACTGACACCATGATTATGGTGAAGATGGGAGCAGTGGGGGTCATACAGCCCAGAAGAGAAAGAAGGTTGAACAATACCTTAATGTTTGTGTGTATAGGGAAGAGACTAACAATTGTTTCCTCATCTCCAAAAGAAAGGCCAACACGATGAGCAATTTAGATGTGAGAAACAAGAATTTCCAAATGGGGAAGTTGGGAACATTTTACTTTCAGGTGGAGCTTGTTTCCAAGTTGAAGGATTTGTGTCACTCCCTTGCTATGGGAAGCAATATCTGCTGTCTTCCTGCCCCCATTCTGGGAAACCAGGTCATCCATCATTGGCCAGTGGTTTCCTCTTTGACCAGCATTGTCACTTTCAGGAAAAGCAGAGACAGTTGCTGTCATTTGCCTTGGAAATGGCTGTACTAACTATGTTTGTGAGTATCAAGTATGAATGCAGTTGGTGTGGTATAACTATCAAAACCAAATCTCTTGGGATGGCTTGGGACAGAATGCCATTTCAAAACAGCCTTGGTAGAAAAAGTGCAGAATTGCTTGTCACTGGATGACAGGAACACATCCGAGAAGTGCATTGTTTGGCAATCCCATTGTTCTGCAAAACTGAAGAGTATACGGACAGAAACCAGTGGGCAATGTAACGTCATGGGACCATTCGTGCAGAATTGCTTGTCACTGGATGACAGGAACACATCTGAGAAGTGCATTGTTTGGCAATCCCATTGTTCTGCAAAACTGGAGAGTATACGGACAGAAACCAGTGGGCAATGTAACGTCATGGGACCATTCCTGTATGTACAGGCCATCTGCTACAATGTCACCATTACGCACACAGAGGCATCTCAAGCTACTCAGGACCAATCGTGACTGAGATGCACCTGGAGACCTGAGAGCATCAAATTCTCCCCACTTCTGCTTCTCTCAGGATTGACTACTATATTGGTTGCTTTTCTTGGTGCTGTGACCAAATGCTTGACAGGAAAACAAACAAACAAAAACACTTCAGGCAAGAAGGATTTTATTTGGGCTAATGGTTTCAAGGGATGCAGTCAATCATCGTGAGGATGACATGGCAGCCGTGCTGCTCAGTCTGTAGAGTCAGGAGCTTGTGGCATGGCGTCTTATATCCTAGTGGATAAGGAAACATTGAGAGAGGACTGTAGGCGGATATAGGCTATAACCCTCAAGGCTGCCCTCAGTCTGCCAGCCAGTCCAATGTCCCCCAAATTCTACCTACCATGCAGCACATTTAGCTAGGGACCAAGTGTTCAAACACAGGGCGTGTGCGAACATTCCATATCCAGACAGCTCTGCAGCCTGTTCTTCCATAGTGATGCTTGACAGTGCCTCCGTGTCCTATGCTCAGGTCACAGCAACAGCTGGATCAGGTCTCTGTATCCCAACTCCACATCCCTGACAAAAATATCTGAGAGCAGTTCAGAGAAAGCGATCACAAGGCTAAAGGACAAAGCACTGGAAGGGAGACAAATGTTTCTATTGCACCTGCCAGCTCCCCCCAAATCATGAAAGCTCGTCGATAGCTTAGACTTGTTTACAACTAGTTCTTATAACGTAAATTAACCCATTTTTATTAATCTGAATGCTGCCTTGAGGCTATGTACTTCCCATCCTGCTGGCTCTGCATCTCATGGTGTCTACCCAGATTCTACTCATCCCAACATCCTCTCTGCCCTGGAAATCCTTCCTAGCTATTGGCTGTTTAGCTTTTTATTAAACCAAGCCTAGTGGCAAATCTTCACAGTGTACAAAAAGATTATTCCACAACATTGGAAGGTGTGCTCTGCTGTGCCAAGGCAGGCAGTTCTAGGGAAAGGTGTCATAGGCCAGGAAGTCACAACCTAAAACAATTTAAAAAATGATGACAGGCTGAAAACCTGAGTCTTCTCTGATAATGTAGCATTTATTAGAATTGGAGAGACAAGAAGTACTTCAGTAGACCTAAAGAATTTCTAGTCCAAAATCACTTAGAAAAGTCAACATTTAGAATTACAGACTCATATGATGCAACTAAATTTCTGATCATGGCAGCCATCAAAGCAAACATTGGCCAGCCCTTGGTATTCTAGAAGTGTAATGATCCTTACTTCTGATAACACAGGCACCACCACTTCCGAACCTCCCCGAGCATAGTTTTACGTGGGCTTTAACATCATATTTGTCCATTGCTTCTTGGCCTTTTGGGTAAAGTTAAGTGTTTTGTCAAAATATTTGTCCAGCTAACAGAAATTTTCAGTTATTGACATAATATTTTTTGTAGTAGTCTCTCTCTCTTTTTTTTAGTATTTTAAATTATAAATATAGTGTGTGTGTGTGTGTGTGTGTGTGTGTGTGTGTGTGTGGGTGTGTGTGTGTGGTCACAGCATGCATGTGGAGGTCAAGGGATGACTTGTGGAAGTCCCTTCTTTCTAACATGTTTCTGGGATTGAATTCAGGTCATCAGACTTAGTGACAGATGCTTTTAACCACTGAGGTTAAAACCAACCATCTTGCTGACCCTAGCTGTAGAATCTCTAGTGATGCGACGTTCTCATATGTGACAACTGTACTTGTGTCGTCTCTGTATCTCTTTACTCTTAGACTAGAAGTTTCTCTGTCTTATTGGGCTTTTCAGTGAACCTGCTTTCATTTTCATTTTCTTTCCACTTGCTCTTTTTTCCACCATTAATAAAAAGAAATGTTTACTGAAATCCATACTTTATTCAGATTTCCTGAGTTTTTGCCTAATGTCCCCAAAGCCTTTCGAGCCTTGCCTGTTTGGATGCCTGAGACAGTTTTGAGGAGAATGGACCAGGTATTTTATCGACTGCTTCTCAACTGGGATTTGCCTAATGCTTTTCCTCATGGTTAAGCTGGGATTATAGGTTTTGGGAAGAATACAGAGGGAAGGTCACACATAGAGCATCAAGATCTGTCACTGGTGCAGTGAATCTTGGTCACATGGCCACAGTTCTTCACTGTTAACTCTGTCTCTAATGAGTCAGGAGTTCCGGTTCACCTCTACGAGAGCAGAGTATCTGTACAAACTATTAGTTTGTCTATGATTTTCTTTTCTTCACTTAACTTACTTACTTAGTCATTTAATTGGTAAGGACTTTTACATATCTATCTTAGTTTGATGCAAATAATGTATTTTAATTTTTACTAATTTCAAAATGCATTTTAATTCTCCTTGTGGTTTCCTTTATGATCTCTGGGTTATTTGAAAGTATGAAATTTAAGTATTTGTCGATTTTCTAGTAAATTTGTTATTAATTTTTTATTTGACTTCATTTTGTCCAGGGAATGTACTTGAGATACATTAAATGTATTGACACTTGACTCTCACAATGTATTCTATTTTTTAAAGAGTCTTACATGCGAGACAGAGGCAGGAAGGTCTCTGTGATTTTGAAGCCAGCCTGGTCTACAGAGTGAGTTCCAGGACAGCCAGGGACACACAGGGTTTGTCTTGAAAAACCAAAACCAAAACCAAAAAAACGAGTCAGTCTCACATGGATTTGCAAAGAATTCTGCTATTTTTGCCTCTTCATTAGGGAATATTCTATAAATGTCCGCTAGGTCCGGCTGGATGGTTATCCTCCAACACAATATCTAGTGACTTTCTTTCCGATAAGATTTTTCTTTTTAACCACTGTGAGGAGATGGTGAATTGTCTAGTTTTAAATTTTTACTTTTTAATATCTCCTTTCAATTCTGCACATATTGGCTTTCCTTTTATGTTGAAGGACTGTCACTAGCAATATAATGGTTACAATTCCTTAAGTCTTTTTGTTAATTCAACCTTCTTGTTATTGTTATCAACTCTCCTTGTCTCTGGTGATATTTATGTTCTGCAACCTGTCTTTTGTGATAGTAATACAGACACCTTTAGTTACTATTTACTTTCTTTACCTTTTCACTCACTTGCATCTTTTTACTTAAAGTGAGTTTCTTACGGACCACACTGAATGGCTCATCATTTCTGAGCTTCAGTCTAAGGCTGGATCCATTGCTCTGGGCCGGAGGCAAGGAAGAATGACATGGCAGTGGACATTTGGGACAAAGATGCTCATCTCCCAGCAGCAAGAAAGCAGAAATGGAGGAGGGAAGCAGGGACCGGGCACAACTGTCAAAGACCCATTCCAGCCATTGTCTTCTTCCGGTAAGCCTGGTCTCCTAAAGTTCCCATGACCTCCTACAACAGAATCACCTGATGGGGTGGGGACATCAACACCCAAGTTTGTCAGAGTCAAACTACAACAACGCTATTGTATTATATCTGATGATAAAAACCAGGTCTGTGATATCCCCTAGATACCACAGGTAAGTTTTAAACAAAGCAGTAGAAGCTTTTAGTTTTGGAAACAAGCTTAGATCAGGTCAAAGCACTGTAAGCATTATTCAGTATTAAAAGGAGGAAAGATTGTATATATGGATATTTATGTTTGAAAAGATAAGGTTTGGACAGTCAAGATAAAAGTGTGTGTGTGTGTGTGTGTGTGTGTGTGTGTGTGTAGGCCTGCCTGTCCCTCTTTCATCCATATATTCAGAAAATACTTGAGAGTATGGAGTATTTTTAGTACTCTGTTCATTTAGCACTCTCCTGGCACTTTGGGAGTTAATACAATAATAAGCTTTCTTGGGGGATCTTCTTGGAGTAATCTCCAATGTGATCAAAACCTAACACATCTCTCTAAGTAGAGACCCACAGCATAGTTCCAGCAGCCTCTTCTCAGAGCTAACACTAGGTTAAGGGAGTGGGTGGAACAATCTTGGCGAAGGAAATCTTTAAATCTGATAAATCCATTTGGAGTGCCCACACTAATGCCATTTATGCTCTCCGAAGGGATAAATGTTAAACCTTTAGGCTTGCCCATTCGTTCATCTATTAGGACGTATTTAATGTGTGTCTCTAGTGTCAGTCCACAGGCAGAAGGTTAAGATGCTGAGTTAATTACTTTTGTCATTACTGTGTAAAATACCCAGCTTAAGCAGTTTAAGGGAAGAAAGGGTTATTTTGGCTCATGGTTTAAGGAATATAGTTCATAGAGGTGGGAAGGCATAGCTGTTACAATAAATCTTTCCGCCAAAAGCCAAGAGCCCCATCGACACGTGTGCAGCTTTCGCCAGCCGCCTGCCCAAGTTAGGGCCCAAATTAATGCACAGAGAGACTTGTATCAGGCACAATGCTGTTTGGCCAATGACTAGGATTTCTCATCTGTTAGCTCAGTCTTAATTATCATAAATCTATATATTTTACAAGACCTACAGAGTCACTTTACTAATTGACCTACATCTCCAGCCCTTGGTCCTTAATTTCTTCAAAGAGTTTATAAAGGTCTGGAAAGAACGCTGTTTCACATGTATAGATCAGAGGACAAACATGGGTATGGATCCTCAAACGTCTTCCTCCTGTTTGAGACAGGTCTCTTATTGGCTTGCAACCATACCGAGTAGGCTAGGCTATCTGGCCAGTGAGAGCAAGGGCCTGCTTGTCTCTACCTGCCACATATCCACTGCAGGGACTAGACACTAGTGCCACCATGCCTATCTTTATATATGAGTTCTAGGGATCTGAATGCAAGTCTCCCCACTTTTGAGGCAAGCATTTTACCAACTGAGCTATCTCTCTAGTTCCAAGAACTGCATGCTCTGGCTGTCCCCTCAAATGAAAAAGGCTTTTAGGGACAATGGATTATGTGTCTTAGTTAGGGTTTCTATTGCTGTAAAGAGACACCATGACCACAGCAACTCTTCAGTCCGTTATCATCATGGCAGGGAGCATGGCGGTGTGCTGGCGGACATGGTGCTAGAGAGATTCCTACATCTTGCAGGCAATAGGAAGTTGGCTGAGACACTGGGTGGTATCCTGAAACCATGGGAAGGCATGGGAAACCTCAAAGCCTGCTCCCATAGTGACACACTTCCTTCAACAAAGCCATACCCACTTGAAGAAAGCCACACCTCCTCACAGTGCCACTCTTTGGTATTATGGGGACCAATGACATTCAAACTACCCCAGTATGTAGGGCCCTTGGTTTAACCACAGTATAAATACACAGACACACACACACAGACACACACACA